GCGTGTCCGAGAGGCGCGAGCGAGCATCGATCGAGCCATGCTCAGTCCGCCGGGGCGGCCGGCGAGAGCGCGCGTGTCATGCGCTGCCGCTGAGATGGCCGGCGCTCGGGCGCTCGTCACCGCCTGCTGCTGCTGGTGGTGGCTGATGACCGCAGCCGGTGAGTACTCCCATCACACTCTACCCTCGCTACTCAGTACAAATTTTTACCCGATCAGCTGATTCCCACGTCGTGACCTCCAGAACGGCTGATTTCGTCGACACATGACTTTTCACGATTTTCCCCCGGTGTTGCGTACGTTACATGCTTTTCGTAGCGTTTTCATGAAAACGATCGTGTTCTGTGTGTGATTTATTTACGAGCACCATTATACTTACGATTGAAATCGTTCGTAACCAAGTGCAGTGCATGGGTTCCAATAATTTCTATTAATTGAATTGGATTCAGGTGTCTGTTATTAACATCCTTAAGGTTATGTTAAGCCTTACGACTAGAAGTAAGTGGAGGCGACATGTAGCTCTGATTGTAGTTGCTTGATTAGGCGGAGGATTATTATATAATAGTGCGAGTGAGGTGTCGCATGCAGTGCCGGGTGCTAACAGTCGCCGGTGGCTGGCAGCAAGGCAGGGTCGTCCTTGCAGCGACCACTGGCTAAACAAACGTTGATATTATTACGTAATGCGACGGTACAGTGACACATCTGCGTCAATATTGATCATAATCACGCCACTGTGGACTGAGGAAGTAAGATTACATGCAGGCGAGCCGCGAGACGAGCGCAGACACCTGCCGACAATCGGCCACTGTCAAGTACGCACGGACATGCGGCACCTCGTATTATTACTATTTAGGGGGACCACTCTGAATACACCGTCTGTCGTCATACAAATCGCACTTACGAACTGTACACACACACGTCCATAGTAAAATAAGCGTAAAAGTATTAAAATAATAGCAAATTTTCGTTTAATAAGTTTTAAAATTTAATCCCTTTTAAAAGACTTCAACGCGCTAAGTTTAAATTATGTATGCATAGACCTCACTGCATTTTTTGTTCAAATATTGTTAAGATCTATGTATATAGCTTATTAATATAATATTAATTGAAACTACTTTGTCATTTTCAAATATGTATTATTTTTTATGCTATTTATGGTATATGTCGGTAACGTATATTTGGCAAAATATTTGGGGAATTCCGCCATTATGTTATTTAGAGCTGATAATGGAGTATCTAATGTTTGTCCTCCAATGATGTAACATATTGATATCATGTCGAATTATTTAGATATTACTTATAGTACCCGCGACAGGACGTCCGTCATAAAATTCGTGCGTTATCGATTGATTACAGGTTTTTGCTCATTTCAAAATTACTCTAGAGTGAACTTGTGTATCTATGCAATTTGATAAAAAATAAAACATTTTGTTGATATCGACTACAGAATCTCGAAACTTGGTTTTTGTTCATTTACTTTTAACCAACCATTTAACTGAGTCAAGTCCAAGTTACAATTGAGAAGGAAAGAAATATGATTAGAAAGAAGAAAGAAAGAAAAAAACTTTATTTCACGCCAAAACAAGCGACAGGTACAGATAATTCATTCCATTAGTAGGAACTGATGGATACATGTTCATGTTACAAGTCTGCCACGATTAGGATTTATATAAAAATAATAAATATCCGTGAGAGGCGATCCCTTAGATCCCTCTGCATGCTCTTCTCTATTCTAAATGATCCTTGTGCTCCCGAATACCTAAAATCTGGCTTTCAGATTTTGGGCAGCTCTCACAGCCGAAATCTCCGTTCAGCTGAAAGTTTGCTTCTAGAGATCCCGTCTCACCACACTTCCTTCGTTTCTAACTCCTTCAGAGTTAGTGTAATTAAATTATGGAATGCACTACCCTATAGTATAAAAATGGCTCCAAACAAAATGGCTTTTAAACGTAGTGTTCGTGAGGCCTATTTAAAGGCGCTACAACGCTGAGTTCGTGTCTTCATTTATATTATATTATAATTATATATATGAAGTTATTTATGTATGTACATATTTTGTGTTTATTATATATTTTTATACAGTAGGTTATACAGTATTTATTATTACTATTAGTTATTTATTTTGTTTTTTTTGGATATTACACAGGCCCATTTTCGCTGAGCTTACATTTAACCCAAAGGTTGACTGGGAGAAAATGCCATATGGCATTAAGTCCGCCTTATGTACCTTATTTTGTGTGTATTAAAGTGTAAAATAAATAAATAAATAAATAAAAATATTATCACAGCTTTTACATCAAACATCTATTACAACATAAGATTATTTGTGCATTAGATTTTATGCCATATTTTGTAGGTACCAGGAATTGCCTGAAATGGATTTTCTGCACCATAAGTAGGCAACTAATATTAAGTCGAATCGGTATATAAACAATAAATAATAATAAGTATCAATATAAAGTTATTTCATTTGAAATGATACAATAAAATTGAAATAGGTTTTATGCATACTTTAAGTGTACAGAAATAATAAAAAGTTTTAGTCTCAAACGACAATGTTGCATTTTTATTGACGTTTTTCTTACTCACATAAAATACGGATTATTGTTTGTCATGAAATAATAAAGTTAACATTATGTTTAGGCAACATACAGGTACCTTTAATATAAATCATAGATTTTTGTAAAAGACTTAACATACCGATGCATTTATATTAATCTTCAATTGCCACACAATTTTTTAAAACTTTTCGCTAAGATATTTGTTTACGTGATGAAGAGAACTAAGCCTTCAAATATTATTATTGTAGCCTAAAAAAATTACATGTTCCCTATTTTACTCTATGTGTATAAAGTAACTATCATTATTAGACCTTAAAATAATTAAATATTCTTGACTGAGATGCTGTTAAGAAGGTAATAACCTTTTTCAATCTTTCAAGTAACCTTCATGCAAACTTTCCCAATTTTAATATCTTTTTATAAAATCACGCATCTTTGCCGGAGCCTGTTTGTTCAATATTCCGCACAAAAGCTGAAGTTTCATTAATATAAAGTTCAGTTATCCGACTTTGAAATTAACGACCCAGTTCCCAAAGAAAGTTTTCTTTTAAAGTCGGCAAACTGATAAGTGAATCTCGTCATTTATCATCGTTGGGTGACACAAGAATTTTTAACTTAGAAATATGTCAGTAAATATTAAGGGTACATTCTTGGAATAAATTATGGTTGCTGGAATATTAGCCTGTATGTTAGGCTCGACAGTATTGTTCTGAAACAAAAGCATTTTCATATATTACCCCCGTGTACGCTAATGATATGACTTGGGAACGAGACCCGGCCTGCCTGTATGCGTGGCTCAGCTCTTTTAATATTAAAACACGTGTAGGTATTAACAAGATTTCCTTATTAAATTTTAATAAGATTGCCTCCGTGTTGTGTTCCCTCACCCTCTGAGCCTCCTTTTGCAGTGTTACGTAAGATTCTCATTGAAGTTTCACTATCTGGTCCCGCGAGCCGCGGCCGCCTCCGCCTCGAAAACTTCGAGCTAAGAGCACTAATCAAGAATTTAGAGCCTACCCCTTGTTAAATAATGGCATTAACTAAGAATTAAAATATAAATTAGGCTTCTTTGAAATTGAAAATAAAGGGTTTCTGGGAAACAATTTACTTTGGATGCTTGATTAAAAAGATAATTCATTGTAACTTAGAATGATTACATTTATCTGTTAAAATGTGAGATAATTGTTATGTCGGAAGTGTTAATTTCACTATATTGTAAAATAGCTGAAATTTTATTCATCTCGTTGTAGCAAATGCTAATAAATCACTCGTGTCAAAAGCCACGGGGTTAAGAGTACGATGTAGAATGTAGGTTACAAGTTGGTAATAAAATTTTAAATCGTATCAAAGCATAATTTTATTGTGTCGGTGCCAAGTTTTGGCAGTCACACAACACATCAAGCGCAGCGCGAACGAATTTTAATTTTATTTGTAATTTTAATGCTATAATGATAGTATACAATTGGAGGCAAAACGTTTCATGATAACTACTTTCACATCATAATATCTGCTGCAAGGCTCTGCTCAACATAGACTTTATTCAATGAGTTCTATACCATTCAGGTGAAAGCGACCTGCATCCAGTTCTCTAACCACATATTGCACAAACATGTTGCCGTTTAGAACCACCTTAATGACAGATATAATGTTATGTAGTATATGATCATAATACATAGTAATAATTCTGTTAGTAACAGCGTGCCCACTATCTAATCTATTAAATCTGTTTGCTCAGAGTAATCCTTTGTTAGCCGTGAATTCGCCGCCAATCTGGTAGACACTGCTTAGTGCTAGTGTCTTTTGACTATGCTATTATCAAATATAGAGCTATGATCGTATAAATTAGTAGCTATTTCATAACTGTCTAGCTGTTTCCTAAAGAAAATACATTTATTGATATCTTTGAAAAGACTTATGTGGTCCACTGGACAATGAGCCTGAAGATAATGTCTTTAAAACTTAGTTACTTATGTGGTAATTTTAGAGACACTAACAATAACAGAGTTGAAAATGCCTTGCAGTTTTAAGTAAATAATAGAACAAACAAGTAAAAGCGGCATAAGTTTAATATACGAAAATGTCATACAATGTGTGTAAGTTTTTCACTTCAACTGCATTATATTCTCAGAAAAGTTTGGTCGTGGGAACATATCACTACAACAAATACAATAATATGTATGTACCGCTGTGCAACTATTGACTCTGCCACACTGGATTCATCACCCCTCTAGACAATTGTAGGCGTAATGTCCCAAAAAAAGCAAGCTTTAAATTGCATTATAAGATGTTACTAATAATGTAGTTAACGCCGAAAAGTTTATACGAAAATTAAAAATAAAACATAACTAAAAACAAAATACATAATAATATTACGTACCTAAAGTAATAAGAATTTTTGAGAACAATTTTGGGGAATGAGGCGAGGGATTTTGGGATTTTAACCTGATGACTATAATAATCATAATAATATAATAGAGCACTAAATCTAATTGAACTAGCTACCTAACAGTATCAACCTAATTAATTTAAAAAAATACAAAATATAAGAAAAACAAAATGAAATAGTAATAGATTATAGAGGTATTAGAAGATAGGAGTAT